GTTTTCTAATGCGTTTTGGTACCAGTAACTTTGACAAAGATGCTAACCCTAACACGAGGCCATTGCCGATACGATCTACGTACCAAAGAAGATAATTTACGTTCATATAAATCCATGTGAATGTCCATCCGTTTTTGTTTTCTAATGCATTTTGGTACCAGTAACTTTGACAAAGATGCTAACCCTAACACGAGGCCATTGCCGATACGATCTACGTACCAACATATCAATACCACAATAACTAAAAATAAGCAAGCGGAGGCAGATTTAGTAAATCTAATGTGATCTTTATTCTAAAAAACTGTACATTTAACCTTGTTAGGCTTAGATCCTGTTTTCCTTCCGATTGAAGTTGTTTGATTTGACAGAAACAAACTGAATATTTTCGTGATTTGGTTAATAATCGTGTTAGAGCAACAGTAACATCATAAATGAATTATAAAGTCAGTATCTAACTGTAATTTTTTTAGTAAAATAATAATTCCTTAAATCAGTTTTTTTTATCTTGAAAAAAAATCTATGACTAATATATACAAAATATACGTTATGCATGATGAGAGATGTGACGTCATATGAATTCTTCTGTCTTAAGTCGTGAAACCCGTGCAATATGGCCGAAAGGTTTATCATCGTGAACCGTGTATTACCGGTCAAAATGTTTAGAATTGTATCTTTTGCTCTGAACATTATTTTCAGGCAACAAAAACTGTTTACTAACTGGGGTAGGGGGGGGGGATCATGTTTCAAGCTGTATCAAACATTCTTCGGATATAAAACAACAGCATTTTGCGAATATATGTAAATTTTATATCATGAAATATGCCTAACAATAGACAGAATTGTCAGTGATGTTTAAATTATAATAATATTAATTTCAAACTATGGGTTGCAATGAAACTGCTACATACAAAAAAAAACTCCCGAAAAAGCGAGCCAATGGGATGAAGAAGTCACCGGACAGGTATGCTTTTTAAATTACTGGTTAAACGTCCAATTATATGTCATATACAACACTTAGCTAAGCTATTCAGACAATTGAAGGTCTGAATTAACTGTTAATTGGTGCTGGGATGCAGAAGGAGGGGGCAGATTGACGTCACAAAATTTTACAATTACAGAGAACTGGTAGTAAAACTTTTTTAGTTCAGATTAACCACGTATAAAATACAAAAATAAAATGTAAAACTAACAGTTTGGTTAAACCTTGCTTATACAAGTATTAAACTATTAAAGTTATTACTTTACTATTAATATCTGTGAACTTTGACCTACTCTAGCGTGTGCGCTAATTGTACACACGTGAAGATATATTAGTGTTTAATTACTTCTACTTCCAGTAAATTTTCGCTGTGTTATTTTTAATTATTATTATTATATACAAGGTAACCATTTACGATACAAACTATGGTTTTATACACATTTGTTATGGTAACTATGGTTATAGTTTGTGCTGTTACTGTTACCATAGTAACTGTAAAATTAATTAAAACTGATCATATCGGTTTGCAGTCCCCTCAGCGCCTAAACTACTGGAGTATAAGAATATATGTGAAACCAGTTATGTGGTTAGAAGATGGTAAGTGTGTTGTTGTAACCTTCCTTACCACAGTTGTATGGTAATAAGTGTTATTTGGTATTATTAAAAACATGGTACTTTTCCTGAGTTGCACAATATCTCGAACGAGAAATGTACTACAAAATTTCCTTGACAGGACTGCGTTATTATTGTCTTTAATAATTACAATATTTTACTTAAATAAAAAAAAACATTTTGGCATATTTATGTATACATATAGTAACATAATATATTTAGATATTAACACGTTTTACGCATATGACATGACACTGATATTATTAAATTCAAAACATTCAGAATTTAAAACGGATATATTATAATATGTGTTATATTTGATATTTAAAAAGAACTATTCTAATACGTTAATGTTAAAATAACCTACAGTCTGTTATATCAATATATACGTAAATATCTTACATTTATATGATATATTGTTGCTTGAGTTTTTATAATATTGTCATAAAAAACAAATCGCTTGTATGGTTTCAATGGAAGTTCGACAATGAGAGACAATCATAACGCGGTCCTGTTAGGAATATCACTGTAGGGGAAATTTCGTGATACCTTTCTAATCCGAGCATTTCAGTACGCTATATCTCTATTTTCATTATATTTCCATAACATGTCTTGAAACAAGAATCTGTTCTTCCAGTCCTACTTTTGTCCCGACAAATTATAAGTTTGTTAAATAATCATTAAAAAATTGTGTTAACCCTAATGCTTCTAATTACAGTACCAGTTAATTAGTATTATTATTTCTCTCAAACTATATTTATCTGTCATCCCACTTTGCTGTTCCTCTAGACCTACGGGGTGGCCTTACAGGTACAACAATTTCTTCATGTTCATGATGATCGTGGCTTGATAGAGGCGCCATTGTTGTTCTGCTAGCCATGGCTTTGATTTCCATAGGGCTTGATAACGGGCTGAAGGTAGGAACTTTTGTCGCCAGAGTAAGAGAATGCGGATGATTGGACGTTTTTTCTGAGCGGAACTTTGGAAGAGTGTTGTTGTCAAACAGTCCTCCACTAGGAGGAGGTGGGGTTGGACGTGGAGGAGCCTCTTGTGGTGATTCGGGTGGGGTGAAAGATCGAGTCTTAAATGTGGTTGTCCCATTTACTTTCATAAGAACTGGAGGAGAGAATGAGCGTCTTGAGTCGGTGAGTTGTCTTCTATTGACGTCACTCTCTGTAGTTTTCATAAAATCCTTATTCGGGGCATCAGAGTTAAAAATGAGCTCTTTTCGTTTTCCGTAAGGTTGAAGCTTTGATTTACGAATGTCAGATTTGTCAATGGGGCTTATGACGTCTTTACCACTCTGATCATCACCGTTGCTGAAGGTATGCTGATAGGAGGTTTTTCTTCCAGATACGTCACGCCTCACTACTGTGTGATAATGAGATTGGTCCCAGATGTTGTCTTCACTGCTGCGATTTAATTCTGATTTGTAATGAGGACTTCTTAGATCCCCTATACTCAGATGAATTGATGACCTCTGAGGTCTGTCTTTCACTCTGACATCTCGTTCTATTGTGTGATATCTGATTGGCTGGTCAGTACAGTTATTTTTGAATTTTAAGAATCTTTTGTAGCTGCTGGATTCGTCAAAACTTTGGGGTTGTCCTGTCTTCTTTTTACCATCACTATGGAAACTAACGTCACTTTCATCCCCAAAGTAGAATGAACGGCGAGGTGTCCCTGTTGCAGAATTCTTCCTCTGTTCTTGATGGGGCTTCTTAGAATGAGTCCTAGGCAATGTCTGAACGTCACGTTCTTCAGAAACTCTCGCGGGATGTGTTGCAAGTCGTCGGGGTAGAGTCACGTGTTGACTATCCACGTGGATCCAGCTGTCTTTCCTGTCATGATCTTGAGGTGTAGACTTATTCACTGAAGTGTATACGTAACTAGTATTTGGGCTATTTTTAAATTTTGTATCACGTGGCAGGGTCTGAGAAATAGGAGAATTCGAATAATCCTTGTTGAAGGTGGTGACCCTGGGGGCCCTAGAATCGTCATACACTGTGAACTTTCGAGAAGCATCCTTGTGGGAGTAAGACCTTTGTACCTTGGACCTATCAGGAGACAGGTGCTTTGTTTGGAAAGAGTCGTGTCTATCTTTCTTCTGGTCGTCTAGAAATGTTCTGTGAAAGTCGTCTCTGATAGAGGACGTGGACTTCCATGGAGTTGACTGCCTCCTCAAAGATGATGATTCATATCTTGGTGAACTTTCATTTACCAGATGCGAAGATGAACTGAAGTTTTTCCACGAGCCTCCTGGTGGGGTAGACTTTGTACTTTCTCTTCGTTTTGGTGAACTCTGAACTTCAGAAAACTTTCGAGGTCTTGGATCCCATTCCGACACCCCCACGAAATTTTTTTTAGTCTTGTCATAAATTGCTCTATCTTGAACGTTTCTGGAAAATTTGTTCCCACTTTCTATAAAATCCTTTTCCACGTGAGCCCGAGAGGGAGATTCGGAACTGTTGTTCATTTTGATATGAATAGTACTTTTAGTTGTTTTTCTGTTTGCTGGCTCATAGTTGCTGTCACTATTGGTGTCTAAGTGGTTATCTAACCCGTGGTTTCTTTCACAATCCATGATCTCCTTCTTGTATTTAGAACCGAGAGCGTTCTGAGAAATTGTATTCTGTCGCTCGGGAAATAGTTCCTTCCTAATCCTCTGTTCTCTCTCTCGTCTTAATCTCTCACTCAAACTTTCTTGGTTGGTATAATCCCCATAGTACTCAATGTTATTTGTCGTTTCTTTAGATATTTCTGGGATTGTCGCTTCGTCAATTTCATCTTCAGGGACCTCATCATCATGCTGTTCTTCATGATGTCGTGTAGTAGTGGTCTCTGTAGTTATCTCCCCGTCTTTCCACTCGGACACTTCATTTACTTCTTCTTTGTCCGTCACTTTTTGGCCGCGACAAGAGTAGTGAGTGATTTTACCCGGGTATGGTTTACTGACATCTATTTCTTGACTGAAGAATCCATCATCAGGGGCTGTCAGTGCCTTTTGATGAAGATCCTTAAACAGAAACAAATTATTACATGCTAAAACATTTTACGTACAAGTTAACACATAAGTATATGACCTGATTGTTCATTAACGTGTTCAACTACTTAAGGAGCTCGTTCAATGGGCCGTATTCAAAAGTGAGTTAAAGTAGGCTAATATTACACATAGACTAATATTACACATAGGCTAATATTACACATAGACTAATATTACACATAGACTAATATTACACACACATGTGAGAATAAACTCAAGATGCATCCACTTCTTACCACGTAATAAACTTGTCTTATAATAACATACTTAAAGTGTCTGTCGGTTCCTGGAAAGTTTCGTCACGCAGTTGTATATCTTCCTCTATAAAACGTCTTATAATAGCATACTTAAAGTGCCTGTCGGTTCCTGAAAAGTTTCGTCGTGCAGTTGTAGATCTTCGTCTATAAAACATCTTATAATAATATATTTACAGTGCCTGTCAGTTCCTGGAAAGTTTCGTCACGCAGTTGCTTACCTTCCTCTATAAAACGTCTTATAATAACATACTTAAAGTGCCTGTCAGTTCCTGGAAAGTTTCGTCACGCAGTTGCTTACCTTCGTCTATAAAACGTCTTATAATAATGTACTTACAGTGCCTGTCAGTTCCTGAAAAGTTTCGTCACACAGTTGCTTACCTTCCTTTATAAAACGTCTTACAATAATGTACTTACAGTGCCTGTCAATTCCTGGAAAGTTTCGTCACGCAGTTGCTTACCTTCGTCTATAAAACGTCTTATAATAATGTACATACAGTGCCTGTCAGTTCCTGAAAAGTTTCGCCATTCAGCTGCTTACCTTCCTCTAAAAACGTCTTATAATAATGTACTTACAGTGCCTGTCAGTTCCTGAAAAGTTTCGTCACACAGTTGCTTACCTTCCTCTAAAACGTCTTATAGTAATGTACTTACAGTGCCTGTCAGTTCCTGAAAAGTTTCATCACACAGTTGCTTACCTTCCTTTATAAAACGTCTTACAATAATGTACTTACAGTGCCTGTTAGTTCCTGGAAAGTTTCGTCATGCAGTTGCATATCTTCGTCTATAAGACGTCTTATAATAATGTACTTACAGTGCCTGTCAGTTCCTGGAAAGTTTCGTCATGCAGTTGCATATCTTCCTCTTTATTCTCCCTCGTAGTTTGTCGCGTCTCAGTCTTCTCGGTGATCACTCGCGCTGAACCGGGAACGGGTGCGTAATCCGAACCTGTATCCTCTCCCCCTGTAGTCTTATGCTAAAATGTGGCCAACGTATTTTCTTAGTAATTAATAGGTTAAAATAAGTGAGACTCTAATTCTAATACTCTGATGATTTACATAAAACTAAATGTTGCTCAGTTTAGAAACTCTAGTACGAAGTAAAAACGAGAGCACCTCTTCTAGACCCTGATTAAATATGATTATCAACTGTGAAAATCAAACCTTGAAGTATCCATGGTTTGCTTTCCACACATATGCTGATAAGGGCACAGAACCTTTATCTTTTAAACGTGTTTTCCTACACTGTGTCGTAACTTTTTGTTTTGTTTACCGAAATTTATTCATTATTACAGTTTTAGAAATGGAAATGTATTCTTACATCTCTATTTTCCATTTCTTCTGTACGATTATCTTCTGTAGTTTTAGTGGAAATCTGAGGTCCACTATCGGCAACCACTTTTCCGTCTTCATACACGAGTTGCCGCTGCACCCGTGTCTCTACCTGGTGACCAAATCGTTACAAGTAAAGTTAAATTATTATATAAAAACAAACTGTAAATTAAAGTTTTCAATGACACTAATTTGGCAGTAAGAAAGCAATAGCTCAGGTAAAATCGTAATTTATAATAAAATAAATGTATATTTATTAGGCTAAAAATATTTTTTAAGAACTACCGACTGTGCTAGCCTTTCCATCTGGTGACAACTTTCAAAAACATTAAAGATTAAATATCCTACCTGTCTGGTTTTGTGGTTCACAACTTTCTTGGAAGTTGTCCATTCCTCTAAATAATAGGTAAAGAAAAACAAAAGAATTCCGTCAACCACGATTGATTACATACAGCTTTATTCAATGTTTAGGTTATATTCTTAATTATTCAGGCTTAATTTTAATTTTATAGTATTTTTGTTATGAAGGTCGAAATCCTGTAGTAATAGCATACATGTATCCCGTAGTAGAGCCTTCTACCACACAGACGTTTATTCTCAATATCTTGTATCTTGTCGAAGGATTTTTAATATGAATACGAAGCAATGGGCTTTATAATTTATGTCCTCTGTTAACATAACTTATGTTCATTCTTAACAAAGTTCATGTCTTTTATTAACATAATTGATATCCATTCTTAACAAAGTTCATGTCTTCTGTTAACATAACTTATGTTCATTCTTAACAAAGTTCATGTCTTCTGTTAACATAACTTACAGAAGACATGAACTTTGTTAAGAATGGATATCAGTTATGTTAACAGAAGACATGAACTTTGTTAAGAATGAACAGACATGAACTTTGTTAAGACTGGATATCAATTATGTTAACAGAAGACATGAACTTTGTTAAGAATGGATATCAATTATGTTAACAGAAGACACGAACTTTGTTAAGACTGGATATCAATTATGTTAACAGAAGACACGAACTTTGTTAAGAATGAACATAAGTTATGTTAACAGAAGACACGAACTTTGTTAAGAATGAACATAAGTTATGTTAACAGAAGACATGAACTTTGTTAAGAATGGATATCAATTATGTTAACAGAAGACATGAACTTTGTTAAGAATGGATATCAATTATGTTAATTCTATTAACATAATTGATATCCATTCTTAACAAAGTTCATGTCTTCTGTTAACATAATTGATATCCAGTCTTAACAAAGTTCATGTCTTCTGTTAACATGATTGATATCCATTCTTAACAAAGTTCACGTCTTCTGTTAACATAATTGATATCCAGTCTTAACAAAGTTCATGTCTCCTGTTAACATAATTGATATCCAGTCTTAACAAAGTTCATGTCTCCTGTTAACATAATTGATATCCAGTCTTAACAAAGTTCATGTCTCCTGTTAACATAATTGATATCCTTTTCAAACGTAATTTATTCCAATTCTTAAGATAATTTATTTCACTTTTTGACATAATTTATATCAACTTTTAACATATTTTATAATCATTCTTAACATACCTTAACATATGGGGTGTGCAAGAATTTTGGAAATGCTTTTGAAAACGGATGGCTGGAAAACCGTTTAACATGGAGAAACGCGGTTTGTTTAACGTTCACGAATAATTTTCAAAAGTTTCATACGGTCCCGATAGATGTCATTAACGCTGGATGGAGCCTTAGCGTCCGCAACACACTCAACAAAACATTTGTTCACTCTCAACAGTACTCGGGTCACATTCATTATTCCTGAATAACACATAAACGCAGTCTGATGTTTATTGTTAAATGTTTAAGACATTATTAGTATATACATTAGGTTTATCACTTACCATGTTTGGCTGAGGCGATGCCATTCGGGGTCTAAGAAATCAAACAAAAAATGAATATCATCGAAGGAAACCAGAGGAAAATAGACAATTGGATCATTTAACTAAGATTACATTACAGCAATCAAATAATCAACACGATACCTACTGGTCAAAACAAAAACAGGTCACTCTAAACATTAAATGAAAAACACAACCTTCACTAGCACGATAATCGGTATAAGAAATAGTAAAACTTACATCCTCATATTACATGGTAGATGATTAAAAACCATATTATAGGTATTTGTTTGTATATGTTAAGCCTAAATGTTAAAAATAACATCCAGTAGAATTTTCATGTAAATACAGCAACTATAAGTTTAAGTGATATAACATTCATAAGTTGATACTCTGACCTTAAAACACACCATTCAGACTACTTCATAATTATTTTATTTAAATCAATGATTCTGTAATTTAAGCGACTTCTATATCCATGTTGGTGTTGTTTTTTGTTTTTTTTAAAAAGCCTATACTTATGTTTTGTAATTGAAGATACAAAAAAAATGTGTTTGCAAATAAACAATGAGATGTAATTATAAATTTATATAGTATATGTGGTTTATTTTGTGTTTGCAAGTAAAAATGCATATTTTTTAGTTATAATTATAGGCCTAATTCATCTTATATTCCGAAATAAACCTTTAGAAAACTATAACTTCTTATTTCATAAGTATCTAAGTTTTATATCTTACATTCTAATTTCGCTAGAGTATGTAAATAAACATTCATGAGAATTAGAACAAAGTAGGAAAAAAAAACGGGTAAATTAATTAACACCCAGTCTGAAAGTCAGGAAGACGTGTTTGGTGTATTGATTTCCAAACAAAGCTTTCTCGTACTTTCTCTTTTTTAAAGTATGAATAAAGACTTGAGCTCTTTGCGATATATGGCATAGGTATTGCCCACCAGTGTGGCCAAATTGGCATTAGTTTCCAGGCTATAAGAAAATATAACCGATACACCAACCCAAAATCTTACATAAAACACGGTGGTTGCCACAAATGTTGCGCAATACAATATCTGGTTCCTCAGTTCTAGCCCCCCACTGGCACAGCGGTATTTCTGCGGACTTACAACGCTAGAATTCGGGTTTCGATACCTGTGGTTGGCAGAGACAGATAGCCCATTATGTAGCTTTGTGCTTAATTACAAACAAACAAACAAAATCCTCAGTTCTATAAAACAGTTTTCTCCGCGATTTTCTGGTAATAGAGATGGTCGAGGTATGTTCAACGAAGCTATAAAACGTGTCAGTGTGGTACCTGTTTGAAGGTGAGCACTTCTACTATCTCGTGCCAGAGGAACACAGTTTGGCCAACTCACTAACCTCCGCATCTCCATGGCTCAACATTATTGAGAAGTGTGTTCTTTTGGCAGTCAAATCTATTTTTTGAGGTTAATAGATCAATCTCTTTATCGGGATACATTTGTTTTGTCATAACTTGAATTCGGAAAACCAAGACAATCCCTCTGTAGCCCACCCAATCCCCCGAATTTTATCTCATCGACTCGCAGACTGGGTATGTTTGGAAGAAGCTGCTAAAACCAAGCGCTTTAAACAGGTCAATATGTCGAAGTCGTTAGGGTTTTATCTGCTAAAACCAAGCGCTTTAAACAGGTCAATATGTCGAAGTCGTTAAGGTTTTATCTGTTAAAACCAAGCGCTTTAAACAGGTCAATATCTCGAAGTCGTTAGGGTTTTATCTGTTAAAACCAAGCGCTTTAAACAGGTCAATATGTCGAAGTCGTTAGGGTTTTATCTGCTAAAACCAAGCGCTTTAAACAGGTCAATATGTCGAAGTCGTTAGGGTTTTATCTGCTAAAACCAAGCGCTTTAAACAGGTCAATATGTCGAAGTCGTTAGGGTTTTATCTGCTAAAACCAAGCGCTTTAAACAGGTCAATATGTCGAAGTCGTTAGGGTTTTATCTGTTAAAACCAAGCGCTTTAAACAGGTCAATACGTCGAAGTCGTTAGGGTTTTATTTTTTTTTTATGTAACTAAACATTTCGTTTTCGTTGTTGTTTTTATGTTGCAACTCCAATTCGTTTGTTGTTCATGAACGAGCTTTATAACTTCCGAGAATAAAATTTAAGTATCAGAAACCTACAAACCCAAATTTGCGACGTATTTTAGAATACACATTGACTGCGTCCGTGAAAACCTGGCTATGTTAGGTTAGCAGGGCATTATGAAATACATCAAGTCGTCCACATAAATGATAACTTACCAGCTCTACTGGTGGAGTTGGTTCCACTCGTCTAGTCACCACCGTTGTAGTTGTTGCATTAGGATTGCTACTGCTATCTCGATAAGCCGGCATGTCTTACAGTAACATCTGCCACTTTATATTCCTTTAGAAATGACATTAAAAGCAGTTTAACAATGGCAAGCTCGAATCTGCTTAATTCAATATAGAAATAGCATTCAGTTGATTAGTTTTAATTCTATCAAAATCTTCAAAGTCCAATTACTTATTGTTATATTCAAATCTTGAACCTTATACTTAACATGGTACTAATTTAAACTTATTATACTACTGTGCTTTTTTAATTAGTTTTTTTTCCATTTTGAGCTGTAACGATAGTATCAACTCTGTATGTTAGCTCTTTATGTTGAACATCTGTAGAATTCATTGAACACTTAAGTTATTAATATTCATCTGAAAACGTGAAAAACGGTTTCTTCTGTGTATTGTAAGGTTTGTTTCTTCTGTGTATTGTAAGGTTTGTTTCTTCTGTGTAGTGTAAGGTTTGTTTCTTCTGTGTAGTGTAAGGTTTGTTTCTTCTGTGTATTGTAAGGTTTGTTTCTTCTGTGTATTGTAAGGTTTGTTTCTTCTGTGTAGTGTAAGGTTTGTTTCTTCTGTGTATTGTAAGGTTTGTTTCTTCTGTGTATTGTAAGGTTTGTTTCTTCTGTGTAGTGTAAGGTTTGTTTCTTCTGTGAATTGTAAGGTTTGTTTCTTCTGTGCATGTAACGTTTGTTTCTTCTGTGTGTATTGTAAGGTTTGTTTCTTCTGTGTATTCAAAGGTCAGTTTCTACTCTGTATAGACCTTGCAATTCCGAGTAGAAATTGACCTTTCAATATTGGCTTTTATTTTACCCCTTGTTATACCTGACATTCACTTTTACATCATCAAGTTATCAATGTTTTCAGTTAATTCTTCGATTGAATGCTGGACGACATCAATATTAGGAATTAATATTATAACATACTAATTTTTGGATATGTAGAGTTTATATTTACTGAGAAACGTGATCTGTAAACAGCTTAGTAGCAGATATGTTGTTTACTGTTTATGCGGAGCTTTTTGTATAAATGTGTTAAGCTTTGTGAATAAATCGTCGTGTTTATAGAAGTACTTAGTTTAGGTTTTTGTTTTGTGTCGTGTAATTCAAATGGCAAGTAATGATAGCCAGTAAAAAAAACTGCCTGCAGCTGCAAAATCCAATCAGAATGTTAACCAAGATATATATCGTAACGTCCTACCTGAGGCGACGTTGGTATGTACAAGACTTGGAAATAAAAGTGACAAGTTGAGAATTCAGAAAGATCGGTTAGACTACTAGAGAAATGTGAACTTTACCACCTTTCTGAAAGTTGGCCAAAATTAATTGTTTTAACAATTAAGTAAGCTTTTTCGCTGCTCATTCAACGTTACCTTTTACAGAAAGGTAATTTTTTTCGTACCTTCAAAACAGAATTAGGTTATCAGTATATTCACGCACTGAACGCCAATTCATTTACACCAACTATGAAGTTCTGAATTTTTACAGATGTACATGTCTATTTTCATACCTTTCTACATTAATTCATTCCCACCAACTGTGAAAGTTTGACATTTTTTTACAGATGTATATGTCTGTTTTCCAACCTTTCTACATTAATTCATTCACATAAAAAATGTCAAACTTTCACAGTTGGCAGATGTTTAAGTCTATCTTTACAGCTTTCTAGACTAACTTTTTAATATTAGTATGATTTTCAGACCTATATTTCACCTTTGAGAGACAACTTACTACCTCTCACCTTTTACTCACCCTCACCTGATACAGAAGCTAGGTAAACCTTCTTTGATCCTACTAACTCCGCACCTTTGAAGAAACGTATTAGATCTTTGAAGATTTTAAATCTAGTGAGCGTTGAACGTGGCAGTAGCTACCTACAACGCAAGTTAACTGTGACAAACATTTCCAACTTTGGACAGGTGTGGGGGGCGAAATTAGATGCTTCCACCCTGAGTACGCTGCCACGCCCCTCACGTCACTAACTACGTCACGTATACGGTTATATAGGTAGCATTCGCCTACAGTGAAGCTGTAGTCGACCTTAGCTACCCCCTACTTACATGCATTTATCACCCCAAAAAACATATACCAACTGTTGTTATTGAGTAACTAATTGAAGATCGATAGATGGCACACCTGTTTATGTATTTCTCTGTATATCCTAGAGATGTTGTTTAAGACTCCTGCAAATGTACGTCCTGTTTATATGTGAACATTACCTATTCATTCAGGTGCCTACATTCGCGTTTTTCGTTCTCAACCTGTGTCCCGCAGACCCCAAGGGGGGTCTGTTAGCATTCTAGAGAGTGCTCGTGACGGTAAAGATCGACGTGCTTTACTACAATTAATATATATATATATTAATACTATGTTCGATTAAATAAAGATAACGTTTTGTTTGAAAATTTCCTGAACTTATTTATTTATGTAGGCGTTGCTTTTGTATACTGTAGGATCATCTTCCGCAGATAGACCTACCTGAGTATGAGGGTCCGCGAAATTATCTTTAGTTCGTGAAAGGGGTAATGAGGAGAAAATAGATTACGATCAATAAATAGTAATTCCCTAATGACTACTCACAAACATTCGAGTACAGACTCTCATTTTCTTAAACAATCGAAGACATTACAAGATAAACAACGAATTAAAACCTCATCTGATAAAGATGTCTCTAGTAGTTACGTAAAAAAATAAAAAATAAGCATAATCCAACAGATTTTAAATTGCCAGAGTAACATTCTTGAGGCAAAAAAAAACAGTAACTAATATGTAAATATTTTAACTTGCAAAGTTTAATCCAAAAAAATGGAGTTTTTACTTAAAAAATATAGCTTGATATTATATTTTAAAGTCAAATCCTTCAGCTTTCCAACAAACAGAAAAATGATGACACGAAATATGTAACTTCTACAACTCAGAAACGAGATGGTTTCATTAGAAAACAGTGGTTGTGCAGAAAGCTTGAAGCTTTATAACACTAGAAATCCATGTTGAATCCCCACGGCACCTCAACTAAACATTATAAGGGTTAAGGGTACATCATTTATTTTACTAAAAATCTTCGCACTCACCCCTGTGGCTCAGCTTACTACGCTAAAAATCGGGTTTAGATACCCTTGGCAGGCAGAGCACGGGTAGCCCTTTGCATAGCTTAGCGCTAAACAACATTCAAAACAACTAAATATGTTTATTCTTATTCTCGCAACTACGCAACGGAATAAGAAACGGAAATAAAATTGTTTAATAAACTACTTAAAGCGTATTTGTTTTGTGTTTGTTTTTTTTTTATCTCAAAGTACATAATCATCCACTAGGGTTTTTTTAAGACAAAGAATTTCAAGAAACGCATCCAATTTGGTCGAGTGGAATCGCATGTAGGCCTAAAAACCTGTTTTTCAAGTAGTCACGCTTACAGACACATACACACACAAACAGTTCGACAAAGAATTCACGGCGTTTGTAATTCTTAATTAGGGAAATGACGTAAGTCAGAATAAGTAGGAAAACAAAAACTGTCCACTATAGCGTTTTCGTTTTTGTTTGTAATCTGTAGGTGTCGCCCGTGAAAGTAACTACAAAAAAAAAACATTTTATTTTGTAGGCCTTGAAAATTCAGTGATGATTGGCGCTTTTAGTAGCGATATTTAATCGAAAAGAACATAATTCTCTGGTGTTTGTTTAAAAATAAAAAAACATCCACTTGCAGAATGAGAAAAACACTGGAAAAAATTTAAAAAATCAATACTTTAAATAGGATGAAACTTATAATTAGTTAATGGTAGTGATTAACAAACTTCCCTCTTAATTAAATATATAGCTTAGAATTATTTCATAATCTAGACCTTCGATTTCTAAAACACATGCTGATTTTATACATTTGCTAGCCACGAATCCTCAGCTCCAAAGTCCAATACCCTAACTGTTACGTCACTCTCGTCCCTTCATTTTCTCCTGTTGCCGCCAAAATCATAATTGCGATCCGCATTTGAGGTCGTGGGTGAGTTACAAAAGCGATGATCACATCTCACTGTTCAGTCTGACAAACTGTAGGGCTCGCCCCCAAGGGGGAGGGGCGTGGAGGATCGGTAGGGGCGCGCAACTATGACCATCATGTCTGAAAGTAAAAATCTGAAGATGAAGAAGTTTTAAAAAACTACCGTACAAATATAGATAGCCCTCATGTAGGTTTGTGCAAAACCCAATGAAACAGGCAAAAACAGTTATATATTAATGATAATCAACAAAATATCACTTTGTTAATTTAGGATATTTAAAAAAACTAGCTTAGCATCTAGTCTAGTAAAATAAAAATGACTTTTAACATTTTGTGTCATGAATTCTTCTCACAGGTGCAGACAGTAGTTTAACTATAAAAGATGCCCCCCCCCCCCGCATAAAAACTAATTGAGCTCCCTACATTTATTCCCCTTGTCGGAAATTCTTATGTTTGTCAGGCCCTCCTTTGGCCCGGGCCTCCCCGCAAATTGCGGGGGCATACTTACGCTACTGAGTGTAGACCAACCCTTGTTGTATTCACTTGTAAAATAAAAAAAAATCAGAATTCAGTTGATCAACCTCCAGCATTAGATTTATTGCCTGTTGCCGGAAGATAAGGTTTTCACGTGACTGGTCTACTCTAAAACTTTACCAGTGTAGTCACGTTTATTGGAGTAATTACCCTATAACGTAGCCACTTTTACTTCACAGAATGAGGAAGAATATCGAAACAGGTCAGAATGCAGAGCGTCAGATTTCGGTTGTGACGTGTCAGTTAATCAGTAATCAGGTTACGAAGCAGATCTTTTGCTGCGATCAGTTCTAGTCTGTACGTTCAAGATTAAGATAAGGTGTTTGTTTTGTTTTCTTTAGTCCGAAGGTTATGGCCAGAAAGAAAATGACAGCCAAATTACACTTTACCAGTCCAAAAAAAAACTTGACAGAACTATGGGCGCGAAGTTTTGAAAAATAAACTGGTTGAATTTCCTGTAAGAAATCATATAGATTACAACCAACAAATGTACATCAAGGATATGAACCATTTCATCATAGTCCTTGTTAAGTCCTTGTTCTTCCTCATCAAGGACATGAAACATTTCATCATAGTCCTTGTTAAGTCCTTGTTCTTCCTCATCAAGGGTATTGTTGCGTCAGCGAGGTCACGTGACTAATGTCACGCCACGTGACAATAATGTG